AACTGGTTAATAGTTGATCGCATTATTAACTGTAATAAATGCGGATTTTGTAATAAAAGAAAACACGATAATTTCAAGAGAAACATCAGCAGTGCTTTGTTCAAAGTAATGTCCATCGCTAGCTACACATTCCCCATCTTTCAGGTGATTTGTGGAGACCATCTCGATAGACCTTTTCTTGTTTTGAGGCAAACCATCCGGACACCCAGTTCCCCACGTCTTCGTACGTTCTGAAGTGCTGCTCAGAAAGGGCATGTGCCGTCGATCGGAACAAGTGGCCATTTGAAGGGGCCATACAACGAAACAGCACACATAGCACATCGCATATATATCAGCATGTGTGTGACTCCATCGATTGAAAAGATGCGCATTATTCACCGGTGCCCTGGTGTGTGCATGTCCCCCTGAGGCAATGCTACCCTCTCTGCTGGCTGCTCTCTTGTTGCTGGTCCACAGCTCTTGTTCTCTCTGTGGGAGGCGTCCTGTGCTTGCTGGCAGGCCTACTGCTGGTTTAAACGGTGTGTGTGTGTGTGTGTGTGTGTGTGTCTGTCTGTGTGTGTCCGTGTGTGTCTCTGTGTGTGTGTGCGTGTGTGCGTGTGTGTCTCTGTGTGTGTGTGTGTCTGTGTGTGTGCGTGCGCTCAGTGCAGCTGGGACCTAGTTGTACCACAAGCGTTTAGTCCGTCGCTGTGTTGATGGAGGACGTTTCTGGGTTTTATTCAAACCACGTTTACATCGGTCTAAACTATCGCAATGTGTTCCAGATGTTTCCTTTGCAGCCCACCTCCTCGCGTCCTCATCTGGAGGCCGGCTGGCTGGGGGGAAGTGGGGTGTCTCCTCCACGGGCGGGGCTGTGTTGGGTTGGGTTGGGTTTCGTGTGGAGCCGGGAGCCGGCTGGAGTCCCCGAGCCCCTCCGTCTTCTGCCTCAGCAAGTCGCTGACACAGAAGCTCTGGGGCCGCCTTGCTCCAGCTGAAAGCTCCCGTCACAGGGAATTAAACGTCAAGGTGGTTTTGTGATGTGGAAACTTCTCTCCGAGGGAAGTGGAAAAAGCCACAGAGGGCTGGAAATTTCAAACCTTCCGAGGACTAGGAGACGGGGAAGGCGGACGTGAGAGCTGGGGTCTGTGAAGCCGGCCTCTGACAGGATGTCGGGGACGCATCCCGGGGGCCGTGGCTTTCCTGTGAGATGGAGCTGCATCCACCCACCCGCCCGGCCCACACCCGCCCGGTCACACGCGGGTCTTTGTCCACACGGAACGTCCAGGTCACACCTGTTTCTCACTCACCTGGGACCTGCGTGAAGAGCTCGTGTGCGAGGCTCTGCGTTCCCGGGGGCTGGCCGGACGCGGGTGGGGCGGCGGCCTCAGGGTCAGGAGCAGCACGGAGCACGTGCCACAGGGCAGCTGGGTTTTTGTGGCGAGAACTTCAGGCCAATCCCATCCTCCCTGGGGGTGACCGACGGCAGATAGCCCCCCATCACCCTGATGACCCACCGCCTTCATTGGAACTGAGATTTAATTAACTGACACTTCCTTTTTTTAAAGAGTAATGTTTCTCTTTTTTAAAATATTTTTTTTATTGACCCCAGAGAGGAAGGGAGAGGGAGGGAGGGAGAGAGAGAGAACCACCAATGATGAGAGAGACTCATGGATCGGCTGCCCGTGCACGCCCTCTACTGGGGACTGAGCTCAAACCCAGGCATTTGGCCCGCCCGGGAATGAACCATGACTTCCTGGTTCGTAGGTCCACGTTCAGCCACTGAGCCGCCGGCCGGGCCAGGGCTTTACTTCCTGTGGCTGCACCAGGTCATCGCCATCACAAAGGCACGGGGTGTTAAGCTTGAACATCAGCACAGGCCTATCTGATGAGGTGCGAGGTCTGAGTGACGTACAGGCTGTCAGGGACGGGAGAGGAGGAGCCCAGGGGGACACACGGAGCGGGATGTGCCAAGGCCCTGAGGCACCGAGAGTGTGAGCAGGATCAGGAACCGAGAGGAGGATCACACAAAACAGGGCACCAGGGGCCTGGAGGCCATGGTGAGGGGGCGTGCAGGAGGCAGCCCATCCCTGATTCTCTCTCATCATGATGTGACCGTGGTAGTGAGTGGGGGTGGCGAAGCATCTCATTAGAAGAGTTGTCCATGGAAAACGGCTGTATGTTTCCATTCAAGAAAACTCAGTGCTTCTGTGATCCCCACGTTCTATGAGTAACTGTGGCCTCGATGGCCAGTGACCTGGCCCGGGCCCCGGGGAGGGCACACCTGCTCTGCTCACCGCTGCCCTTCTGCGTGGGGGAGGAGAGCGTTTGAAAGTGCGTCGTCCCACCCGGCCACGTGGCTCCGTGGCTGAGCATCGACCTGTGAACCAAGAGGTCAATTCCCGGTCAGGGCACAGGCCCGGGTTGTGGGCTGCATCCCCAGTGGGGGGCGTGCAGGAGGCAGCCAATCCATAATTCTGTCATCATGGATGTTTCTATCTCTCTCCCTCTCCTTCCTCTCTAAGATCAATAAAAAATATTTTTAAAATAAGTAAGTGTTGGGTCCCCATGACATTTTATTTCCTCCCAGGAGTGACTGGGTGACCTCCTACAAGGTCATGGTGAGCAACGACAGCCACGCGTGGGTCACGGTGAAGAACGGGTCTGGGGACGTGGTGAGTCTGCTCCTGGGGCCCTCGGTGCTGCTGGGGGCTCTGCAAGGCGGGTGGGTGTGCCCCGGGTGTGCCCCGTGTGTGCCCTGGATGTGTCCTGTGTGTGCCCTGGTGTGCCCCGTGTGTGCCCTGGATGTGTCCTGTGTGTGCCCTGGATGTGTCTTGTGTGTGCCCCGGGTGGGCCCCGTGTGTGCCCTGGATGTGTCCTGTGTGTGCCCCTTATGTGCCCTGTGTGTGCCCCGTGTGTGCCCTGGGTGTGTCCTGTGTACACCATTTGTGCCCTGGGTGTGCCCCGTGTGAACCCCGTGTTTGCCCTGTGTGTGCCCTGGGTATGCCCCGGTGTGTCCTGTGTACCCCATTTGTGCCCCATGTGTACCCTGTGTGTCCCATGTGTGCCTCGTGTGTGCCTCGTGTGTGCCCTGGGTATGCCCCGGGTGTGCCCCGGAAGTTTGCTGGTTTTCTGCCAACTCAGGGCACCCACAGCTCTGATGGGTGATGCCCCTTCCGTGCCTGGAAGCGCAGCACCAAGTGGCCCTCGTCCAGGGCTCATGTAGGGCTCAGTCTTCCAGTCACAGTCAGCCCTGGAAGTGGGGGCCCTTGGCCATGCCCCCAGCTGTTCAGTCAGTTGTGACCGATCCCTGACTTGCTTGAATGGCCACAATCTTTCAGCCCAGGATCGGCTCCAGGGCGGCCAGTATGACCACGTCCCCCCTCTTCCTCGGGTCCGCTAGCGCCTGACTGGCGTCAGTGTCCCGCACGACCTGAGCGTGGCCTCCCTTTCCCTCCTTACCCCCCACGCACTCGCGTGTTCCCGAGGGCCAGTGGCCCTCCCTCTGCGCCCGTCTCGGCCCCGCGCCATCACTGCTGCTTCTCTCTAGAGCCCGCCCTTCCCCGCAGCCCTGACCACTCTGCCTTCAGGCCATTCGCACGCACCGCACCCTGAGCCGCGCAGGTCCTGTCCTCTGGGAGCCCAGCTCTGAGGCTGTCCCCTGCCGTGGCCCTAGTCGTTTCGGCAGGGACATCTCAGTCCCCCAACCCCTGCCCAAGAAGGGGCTTCCTGCCAGCCCGCCCGCGTGTGGAGCGCCTCAGTGAGGCCTGGGTAAGGGAGCACGTCTGGTACCCCTGTCCCGCCAGCGCTGAAAGGCGCTCCCTCCCCCTGTGTGCAAGCAGGTGTTTGAGGGGAACAGTGAGAAGGAGGTCCCCGTCCTCAACGAGCTGCCGGTGCCCATGGTGGCCCGCTACCTCCGCGTCAACCCGCAGTCCTGGTTCCAGGATGGGAGCATCTGCCTGCGGCTGGAGGTCCTCGGCTGCCCGCTGCCCGGTGAGCGTGTCCCCCAAAGGGGAGTCAAAGAGACCAGGCCCGGCCGGTGTGGCTCAGGGGTTGAGCATCGACCTATGAACCAGTTCGATTCCCGGTCAGAACACAGGCCCGGGCTGCAGGCTCCGTCCCCAGTGGGGTGTGTACAGGAGGCAGCCGGTCCACGATTCTCTCTCATCAGTGATGATTCTCTCTCTCTCCCTCTCCCTTCCTCCCTGACGTCAATAAATACATATTTAAAAAGAAACATATCTGCTGAAAATATTTAGAAAATGTGAGTAAGCCAAAAGCAAATAAAAAACTCCCATAATCCCCTCGGCAGCACCAGGACCACCCTGGCCGTGCAGTGCCAGTGACCGTGGCCTGCCTGCAGGGGTTTTAGGTCGAGGCTTAGTTCAAGGTTGAAAACGCATACACTCGCCACCCGCAGCAAGCGGTAACGCTGTGCGGCGTCCTGAGCGCTCCCGCCACAACAGAGGAGCCGGAGGGAGCTCACTGTGAACCTGACCGTGTACCCAGCGCCTTTCTGCTTATGCAGCTTCCCTTGGATGCGCGTGTCTTTGGGTAAATGTCTGTCCCTTTAGGTTGTATCCCTTTGCCCTGTTTTCACCAGACGGGGTGTCTGGCTGGGACCTCGGAGTGGCGGGAAGCAGGGGGCTGAGTTCCCACAAGCCACCTGGATCCGGGCTGGTGTTGGCTGTGGACGGCTGATCTGGCCCGGCCCCTGTCTGGCTTTCAGAGCTTATGCGTTTGTGCCCACATGGAGCCTGTAGGCGGCCTGTTCATCCTGACCAGGCATCTCTAGGAAACTGGACCCCTCCTCTCCTTCCCACCCCCCAAGCATCCTTTCTGCCCCTCAGTAGACCTGTAGGAATCCGCACCTTCCCGCCCACCCAGAGCCAGGCCTCAGGGAGCAAGCCACACCAGCTCCGGGCTCTCTCTCCTACACATCTGCCCAGGGAGGCTCCCCCATTCCCGTGCCCTGTGGGGTCAGGCCTTGCTGCCTCTGGGTTGTGAGCTCGATCCCCAGAAGCGGGCGTGCAGGAGGCAGCCGATCCGTGATTCTCTCTCACATCACTGTTCCCTCTCCCCTCTCCCCGCCTCTCTCCACTCCTCCTCACTCCTCCGCCCTCTCCTTTCTGCTAAGTGCCATGTGGTTTTGTAGTTACAGAAGCAATACAGACTCTACAGTCACAGGCAGGAAAGAACCAGAAAGTCCGTTTATATGGAGGGGGTCGATTCAAGAGCAGACAGTCCTCTGCAGACCCCGGAATCTCAGGCCCCAGAGGCGACCACTGTCAACACTCCTGAGTCTGCTATTGGGCGCTTCCAGCCCAGCACCAGCTCCCCAGCTCCCACTCGAGTAGCGGGTGAGGGGGCCCTTCATCCTGTGACAGGAAGTCCAGGGAAACTGGGCTCCAGTGTTGGTTCACGTGTTCGCTCCTGGTGTTTTGGGGTTCTCTCTGGCCTGTGCCCTGGAGAGATTCTCACTCACTCCTCCACTGTGATGTGGAAGTCCTTCCCTCCAACCTATAGCAGTAAGAGTGGCCCGGGATGCGATGCTCCCATTGGCTCAGACCTGTCACGTGGGCCCCAGGAACTGGGGGTATGAGGCCTGTTTCTGAGAATGGAGCGGGGGTGGGTCCCCAAATGGCACAAGGTTTCTGTTAGGAGGTATGGCAGCGGACTGAATGCTGGGTAAGCAACTGAGCGTGTCCACCACACTTGCAAAGATTCCCATTTCTGCGTGCAGCCTGGCATTCGCTTAGTAGCTCATTCATTCATTCATCCTTCAACTCATTCACTCATCCATCCATCCATCCACACACCCATCACACATCTATCCATCCTCCATCCATCCATTCATCCATCCACCCATCCATCTATCCATCCACCCACCCATCCATCCATCCATCCATCCAACCATCTATCCATCACACATCCATCCATCCATCCATCCATCACACATCCATCCATCCATCCACACATCCATCCATCCATCCACCCACCCATCCATCCATCCATCCATCCAACCATCTATCCTGCACACATCCATCCATCCATCCATCCATCACACATCCATCCATCCATCCACACATCCATCCATCCATCCACCCACCCATCCATCCAGTGCTGACAGGGTGCGAGGCACCCCGGTCATGCCAACTCAAACCACAAGAAACCGCGGGGGGAGGGGCCAGTATGTTTCTGTTTTCGGGTGAAGAAACCAAAGCAGAGACCCCCGTGTGGTGTCCAGGGTCACACAGCCCATAAGTGGAAGAGCAGAGATCTGAGCCCAGGCCCATGCTCTCCATCACCGGGTGGTTCTGACTCATAAGAAGCTTCTAGAAGGTTCTCTCCCCTCTGTGGAATGGTGGAGATGGGCTGAAAGGTATGTAGAGAGTGGATACCAAGAGAGTTGGCACATAGGCACATCAGAATGCTAATACTGCCAATTGCTACGAACTCAGAGCCGTGTTCCTCTCTCTAGATCCAAACAACTATTACCACCGGCGCAACGAGATGACCACCACGGACGACCTGGACTTCAGGCACCACAGCTACAAGGAGATGCGCCAGGTGAGAGCCAGCGGGTCAGCGCGAGAGGGACGCGCCCGGGAGGAAGCACACGGTTCTCCCCTTCGGAGACGCGGGTGACGAGCTAGGGACAGGGCCGGAGTGAGCACCCGGGTTGGGGGGGCCACGGATGCCTGTGGTCTCAGGCGGAGAAGGTGGGGAGGCATCAGGGGCTCCTCGCCAGCAGGTGGCGGGAATGGAATCCCACCCGGACGCTCCTGACTTGATTCTCTAGCTTCTTACGCATCTGTGTGCGAGGGATTCGCGGACGTCAGGGTGTCGGTGGTGTGCAGCGTCCCGGGAGAAACAGGATCTAGGACAGTGACGGCGAACCTTCTGAGCTCGGCGTGTCAGCATTTAGAAAAACCCTAACTTCACTCTGGTGCCGTGTCACATATAGAATTTTTTTTATACTTGCAACCATAATAAAACAAAGGCTTATATTTTTGATATTTATTTTATATATTTAAATGCCATTTAACAAAGAAAAATCAACCAAAAAAATGTCGCGTGTCACCTCTGATACGCGTGTCATAGGTTCGCCAGCACTGCTCTAGGATAACTGAGAATAGTGGTGGCAGGAAGCCCTCACCTCGGACCCGCGTTACTGATGGGGAAACTGAGTCACCGAACGTGCAGAACCCCACCCGTTGCTATTCAGAGACTCTGAGCCTCCGTCTGGGCTGCGTGGTAGAATCGCCTGGGGAGTTTGGAAAACTCTCTATACTTGACCCCGCTCGGGCCAACGACAGCAGCAGGGCCCGGATGGAAACCTTCCATCTCTCCTGATGGTAACGGACAGCCCGACCTCAGCACGCCTGCCCGAGGCCCTTGAGCTCTGGGTGCTTTTGTGCTGTTCAGAGGAAAAGGAAGCCCTGGCTGGTGTGGCTCAGTGGATAGAGAGTCGGCCTACAGACTGAAGGGTCCCAGGTTCGATTCCCGGTCAGGGCACATGCCCGGGTTGTGGGCTCAATCCCCAGTAGGGGGCGTGCAGGAGGCAGCTGATCAGTGATTCTCTCTCATCATTGATGTTTCTCTCCCCCCCCCTTCTTTCCTCTCTGAAATCAATAAAATATTTTTTTTTTTAAAAAAAAGAGGAAAGGGAATCCCAGAGGGCCCCCCTGCCCCCAACATAGTTTCAGAGACCAAGGGATTTTGGGGTGTTGACCGCCTTGGCATCCTGGGCAGAGAGGGGAGGAGGGGCCGATCGTTGGAGGACAGGCTGCAGGGCAGTGAGGGCAGGTGCCGCTAGTGAGAAACCCTTAGATATCAAAGGTGCTAAGGATTCCTACTGGTCCAGACTAGATAAGTGTGCACATGTGAGGTCGGTGTGAGACAGACATCAGGGAAGGGCCTCCCGAGTACACTTACAGGACGAGGATCCACGAGGCCCAGCTCCCGTGGCTCAGAGCAGGGCTCCGGGCGGGGAGGAGGGACCGCGCCCGGCCAGGCTCAGGGACCACCCCGAGGAGGAGCGGTGAGGCTGGGCCCGAGGGCTGGGGCCCCCCTGAGGCATCAGCAGGCCGGTCTCTGCGTGGCCTCTCGTGGGGACTCACAGCTCCCGCTCCTGTCAGCGCAGACTCGGGGCGGACGTGCCGGAGAGACCGTCGCCGCTGCACTTCTCAGAAACCACTGTAATGAGTTGGGACTCGAGGCTGTGAGTCACCGCTCTGCCCTGCGGGGTCGCAGGCCCTGCCGCCGCCGGTTCCCGGAGCCTCCTGTGCCAGCTCCGACTCCCTGCGCCCAGGCCTCTCTCCGAGCCCCAGAGTCAGACACCAGCTCGGTGCAATTTCTGTCAAAAGCAACGCATGGAACGTGTTTCAGACGAGCTCCCTGCACCCAGGCGGCAGTTGGTGTCTTTACATGGTTGCCCCACTTGCAGAAGTGGCCTCCTCTCCCACGAGAAGAGTTGGGGACGCCCGGCCGTGGGGCGCAGGGGCTGAGCGCCGGCCTAGGAACCAGGAGGTCAGGGTTCGATTCCAGGTCAGGGCACAGGCCTGGGTTGCGGGCTCCGTTCCCAGTAGGGGGCGTGCAGGAGGCAGCTGATCCATGATTCCCTCTCAGCATTCATATCTCTCTCTCCCTCTCCCTTCCTCTCTGAGATCAATAAAAATATATGAAAACAAAACAAACCAAAAGGAGGAGCCACAGGAGGGAGAGGAGAGAGTAGAAGGCCTGTCGCCGGGAGGGATGGTACTGAGGGTGCGAGTCCCAGGGGCAGGAGAGGGACTTACTGGGAGGCGCTTCCCGCCCGGCCCGGTGGGTGGATGGGAGGGGCCGGACGAAGGTGCACAGACACTGGTCTCCGAGGGAGTTCGTGGCTCCGGAGAACCGAAGGCCTCCACCTCACGGCCCCGCTTTAGAATCGCTCAGGCCCGTGTTACATGTGTGTTACGTCTCCTGCGTGTGGGACCCTGAGGGCCGAGACTCTCATTCCGTCACAGCTTCCTCATGGTGCGGACTAGATAACTGCATGTGAGGCCGTCCCAGGGGTGAGACTGGGGGGAGGGGAGGGAGGGGGGCCGATGGTGAGTGAGATGTGCCCCAACATCACCAGGATCTACAACATCGGCAAGAGCCAGCAAGGCCTGAAGCTGTACGCCGTGGAGATCTCCGACCGGCCCGGGGAGCACGAAGTCGGTGAGGCCCCCCGGGGTGCACGTGGCCAGTGGGGACAGCCCTGGCGCAGGGCAGAGCGGCCGCCCCTTCCCACTCAGTCCGCACCTGGGTCTCTGAGCTGCCCGTCCTCCGACACGGCCGCCGGCTGATTGATCCTGGAAATACCCGTTTCCTGACAGAAGGGTGCGGGGGGAGTGGGGGCCGTGTGAGCCCTGCCCCCAGCTCTGAGCTGGCCCACTGGCCAGGGAGGAAATGCCCGGGCACTTAGGACAAAGTCCTTTTCCACCAGAAACCCTGCACCCCCACTCAGTAACGGCTCCATCAGAGGAGGCCCCTAGTTTTTTGTTTGTTTGTTTGTTTGTTTTAGAGAGAGAAGAAGGGAGAGGGAGAGAGAGAAACATCATCGATCGGCTGCCTCCTGCACACCCCCTACTGGGGATCGAGCCTGCAACCCGGACCTGTACCCCGGCCTGTGCCCTGACCAGGAATCGAACCCTGACCTCTTGGTTCCTGGGTTGATTAATGATCGTGCAGGAGGCAGCCGATCCGTGATTCTCTCATCATTGATGTTTCTGTCCCTCCCTCTCCCTTCTGGATGAAATCAATAAAAATATATTTGGAAGGAAGAAAAAAGACTAGCAGGCTGAGGTGGCCAGTGGCTGCTGGGCAGAGGGTTGCGAGCGGCGCGTGGGGAGCGGCTTGGCCGCAGCAGCTGACGTGCCTGTGCCCCACCTGGTCCAGGGGAGCCCGAGTTCCACTACATGGCGGGCG